AACACCGTTTCCGAGATGTGATGTTACCAACTTTGCCACCACTTTACATCATTGTGCATTATTTTGTCTCTTATGTTACCGAGAAGAAAAGTGCAAGGTGTTGAAGTTATCATATTGAAATCTAAAGCCTAAAGGCTTGGGAGCATCAAGACGCGTCTCATTGAAAACTGAAATAAAGAAAATCTAACTTTTGTTTAATTCTATTGGCATTTCCATAGCATCTGTCACCTCTATCAAAGGGGTCGCTATTGACCTATTGTTTGGGTTTATGTTCATCACAAGGCTCATGCCCCTGCAACACACCCTAGCAGAGCAACTGTAGCAATGAGCGGCGAGGACCATATTCTGGCAGAGGGAGCCAAGACTCCGTCGCGTAAAACTAAGACTAAATCACACAGTAAGTTTATTTACATCTTTTTATTTCCTTTTGTGATGTTCATAATAGGAAATGTACCGTTCGATACCATTTAGTTATCCAGTATTCCAATGCTCACCCATAGAGTGCTCATTCTTTTTATTTATTATTACTATTTTCGTTGATTATTAAAATGGTTTGTGGTGATTCTGCAGGCACTCCAGTCCAGCAGCGACGTAGCGATAGAATTCGCACGAAGATGGCTGCAATTATTAAAGATGGTAAGCATTATATATATATAGATACACTGAAAGAAATTCACGATAGACAATAGACTGACGTTGATGTTTTCCTTTTCTTTTCTTTTCTTTTTTTTTCTTTAATAAAGTGGGGGACTCAATCACACCCCCACATAGGTCTTATATTCACTCCAAGTTCCCATCACATATGGGACTTCTCGGTACCTCTGCGTCTCCGAGAGGAGTCGAATTAGACCAATATAAAAGAAGGCTTCAGTTTAAGAGCGGTACGCGAAGCAACCTGACGCTGACAGACGCATATAGGAACTTTGAAAGGGATGTCAAAGTCCAAGAGTTCCATGCGGATCAGCGGGGCAAACGCAACAGTGCCCATTTAAAAAACCGTGGTTGTAAGTTATCTATCTATTTGTTTTCTTCAATTCTATTTATTTATTTATTTATTTGGAGAATGGAAAAGAAATGGGTATTAACTGTATATCTAATCTCATTTTGTAAATGATAATAAATATTATTCCAAAAGTGGTCGTGGCTGCTGGCTCCAAAGCCCGACAAACCAGCGTAACCGCTACGCAAACTGAAGCCAGGCCAGCCAAAGTACAGGCTGCTCCACACCATACTTTGCGACCAGGTGTGGGACAGGGCTCTGTACTAGAGTCGAATCCAGAGGTGGGCACCCTGGCCGAAACCACCCTGGAGAGACGCAGGAGGCAATATAACCAAATCAGGTCCCGCCATATTGCCTCCAATTATACCAGTTGGGAAGAGCGGGACCAACACTGGCGAGCCAAAAGATTAGCAAGCTACAAAGCTTTATCTAAGGCCGCCAGAGAGACCGCAGTGTTCAAGAAGCGAAACTGTAAGCAGCTTTAAAAGACGCAAATAACATAAGGAGTTGGATATTTTCAAAATGGAACATTGATTATTCTAACCATCTGTTTTAACTATACAATAGTGGACATTTGCGGATGGGGAAACTCGCGAAAAAATCTCGGCAACTACCTCAGTATTTGCTGGGATTATAATTCAGACCTGGATGAAGACAAAGACCAGGCTCTTCCAGAGCGTGCTCCATCCACTCTTCAATATCGCAACGCTGCCGGAACAGTTGTTGAGTCCGGCGTGATCTATCATCCGCAGACTATTGTCGACGGAGATAATGATCACCTGAATGGATACTGTTTCACAGTCCAGTCAGAGCTTGCCTTGAAGTTTGAAGCAGCACAGCGGGTCTTGTTTCAACAGGCGAGTGACCTCATTCAGGGCTCCTTCTTCCAATACAATATGGACCTGTCTTTGGATTCCAGTCTTGATGACGGATTCACCATTGATATTTTTGTGTCGTCGGCCCCTTCAAAGGATTTGGCCGACATCACAGTCCGAGGGGTGACGCAGTTCATCTTTATGAAGTCGTACATTTATGTCGACAAGATCTGCGTCGCACAAAAATATCAGAAAATGGGAATCGGGGCTTTTTTGATGGATAGGATCCTCAAAATCGCCCAGAAGCGGAACAAAGACATTCTCTTGTACGCACTTGGTCCTGTTATAGGTGCGTACAAGAGATGGGGGTTCGAATATTGTAAAGAGTGGCCGCCAATCCCCAAGGACGTTGGCGCGGTCATGCGGAAGCGTATCCGCACAGAAGGAGTCAAAGACGAATATGTCGGCCTGGAGTGGGATGGTACAGGCTTCTCTTAGGTCGCAGAGAGCCCAATCCACTTCCAGGCCAGCACGATACCCTTCGTCTTTTACCATAGTCCTTGGTTTTTGTTATATTTTCGCCATGTATTTTTTATATATTTATTTGCTTATTTTCGCTATGTACCATCATTATTAGAATCATCATCATCCTCATTAGAATATCATAAGCATTGTCAATGGCATTAATTACTCAGTGTATTTAATAAACATTATTAATTTATTATTTTGTATTAAAAAAAAAAAAAAAAAAAAAAAAAAAAAAGCATCTTTCAGCACCAAAGTTGACTCAGACCCTACTTACACTTCATCTAATCTATTGCCTAGTTCATTCAAACCATTGAGAGGGAGCCCACTAATCTTACGAACGGGGCACCTCCATGCACACAGAGAGTGGAAAAAGACACTTCTCATAAACTATTTCATGGATCAAGTAATGATTAGCAGGAACGTAAGAAGTGCCTGCGGCTATTACCACCAAGCCCTGCTGCACTTAATCCATTTAATGTATCGACTGTAAATGCTCTAGAAGAGATGTTTAAGTGCATCATGACTGCCGCAAGCGCGTCTACTCAACCCTCGTCGTTGTCGTTATCGTCATCGCTGGGTAATAATAGTAGGAGTAATGGTAGTTAAAGGCTTTTATCAAAGTACAATGAGGAGGAAAGTAGCAATATAGCACAAAAGCAAGGTACTATTGCCTCATCTCATCCACAGCTAAAATATCAAAAACCAGCCACGGCCACAATTTGCACTGAGAATGTTGATTTTTTCTCGTTCCCGAAAATATTATTTAAAAATATCCTGCGGCAATATCCGGCGTGGATGTAGCCAAGACATCATCATCGAGCTTGCCTGACGCTTTCTAAATGTAGTGACGGAATAATTAGTATACTAATTCCTTGAAGTTCAGGGCATCAACCACAATTGTGTTTAATCTGCTTTTCCATTCAGGCATGTCCCAAAGCTTTGCCAAGCTTAGGCTCTTAAAGATCATTTTTGGTAACATAAAAACTGCACGATAACATCCACCATTGTGTTTTTTGGTTTTGAATTGGATACCGCTCTTTAAGCAGATGCACGGTATACCAACTGCCTCAAACTTTGCAGCCTGCTCGTCACCTAAAACGACCAGTGGCCTGATAACCACTAAAATATCGTTTGGCCACAAAAGTAATGGAAGAGAGTAGATCAAGGTCTTACCCCATCCTGCGTCAGCTATAAGAATATAGTCCTCACGTTTGCCGATCTTGTTCACGACCTCCAACTCTTCTCGTTTCGGATAAAACTTGAAGGTATTGAAACATCTCTGCGATACATCTACAAGAAGGTGTTAATAACCTTCCGGAGCACCCTTGTTTGAGGTTGCGGATAATGGACGTAAAGATTTTGTCATCCTTTCCTCCTCGCGCAATTTCCACGCGCACCTTTTTAACGTCATTAACCTTGCATACGTACATGTACAACAGCTTTTTTTATTTCTCATCAGCATTTAATCGATCCTCTCTTTCTATTGATTATTTTTTAATCACTCGCATCTTCCACTCTTGAGCTTGACTCATACTTTTAATCATCGTCGTTTCTTTCTCTCTCTATCCATTCATGCAATCATTATCGCTCCTTTCCCTTTCAGTTTACTGTGCTATCTATTTTTTAAGATTCTTGTCCTCTCTTCCTTATTGTTGCTTCTACTGTTATCCTTTCTCTATCTTTTTCTCATACATATAGCTATTCCATCATCCTTGCGCTCATTCTTTTCTTTTACAATGTTTAATATATTGAACTATTCGATATTTCTTATTGTCATTAAAGGTAATGGTCGTAAACTATTCATCTATCTATGAGTATGACAGTTCATGTCACGTCGTTTTATTAGCAGGGAGCTTGTTCGATAAATAAGTGAGGCTGTATGGGCCTTTTCGGGGGAAAACATGCTGTATGCTGAGTCTGTTGCGTGCGCTACAGTGGCCTGAAATACTTGTACAATAGCCTATGACCATCGCAATACTACAGCGCAATAACGTTGTGGTGTCCTTGCTTTTGGGTTCTCATTGTATGGATCATGCTATATTGAATAGTTGCTAACCATTAGAGTGCTTTATTTTAGTATTATGTCATCTCAGACATTTCAGACGCCTATATCCAAGATATTCACTGCTTCACGTAAAGGACCTAAATATTTTCTCTCGAAGAGAGCTAGAGATGCTGATGCAAAGGAATATGTTATTTTCTACAAAATTTTTCAATACGTAATCCTGCCAGAGCTGCCAAAGAATGGAATGAATTTATGAGGGAGGAGACTTGAGAATTGTGATTCCTCAGATTAGAAGGATTATGCTATGATCGCACCGCGGTTGACAAGAAACATGGTCGTGATTTGGTCATAAGAAGAGAGCGGTGGTGCATGTGGCATAGGTAATTATTCAGGCTTTGGATTCTATTTGTTATTATTATGTAATAAGCTACGGGTGATGATAATAATGTTTATGATGGTTAGAACCTGATATTGACGATAGCACTACCAATAAAGGCAGAATCAACAATGAAAACAACCCTCCACCTCAGATACTTCTGATTCCAATCAACCACCACCAAAAAATGTATCCAAATTTAAACGAAGTGACTCAACAAATTTGGCAAAACGGAGGAAGCAATCATTCACGATAAATGTTAAGGAACCCTCTACTATGAATGACACAATTGATGATTGGTTTGAGATATCTGATCCATCTCAAGCTTCCAATGTAAGAGTTGCCTTCAGGACATTCCAGACAACTTCTCGTAAACTTGTTCTACCTAGTCACGATAAATCTTCATTGGTTTCAGAAGCCTTGTAAGTCCTTTTTATTGCTGAATTAGTCCAAATTGAATAATTAGGAAAACCAATTTTTTTTTTTTTTTTTGCTATTAGATCTCTAAATGGTATTTGGCGGGTTGATAAAGCCTCTTTAGGTCTAGTTCGAACTGAACATTTGCAATATCTAGAATCTTTGAGATCAATATATACTCCTGCTCCTGATCGTGACCTGTTGTTGCTTTGTTTTAATGTTCAGTCAAAGTTGCAGCGTCCTCAATCAGAAACGCAATTGATGGACTATATGCTATATGCAGGAGCTTTATGGGCTTTATGGAAAAAATATTGAGAAGAAACTAGCAGTATGCATTCTTCAGCGACTGTAAGTAAGCCTACTTAATTGAATTCTTGTAAAGTGGCATCACTTTTTTTAAATCAGTGTTCTATTTCTATTTAAACAGTATGATGATTCTTCCAGCAAACTATCAGCCTGGGGAGGAACATGGGGAAACAGTCTTTATCCTTACTCATGCCCAATGTTTTCTATATAGATGTTCTATTTGGCCAAAGAAGCTGCTTTCCTGTATCACACAATATTGAACATGATTCGGGGAATTCAACGAAATCAGAACATGATCATGGCCTTAGATCAGATCCCTACATTAGTGTCCCGTGTTCAGTCTTTTCAAGTTTCTTTAATTCAGATATAGTAGGTCTTTTTTGGGAAGGTCAAGCCTCCAGAGAAGGACCGTCGCAAATGTATAAGGATTAAAGATTTCTGGAAACTCGTCAGAATGGCAAAGGATGAGATTAATTCCTATGATTCCAAGGGAGTTGTTAGGTCCATGGTGATATTAATTCAAGTGTCTGGATTCCAAATCGAAATGTTTTTAATGGAAATGGACCCAAATGAAGGAGTTTATGTTCTGCACAAAGCCGCTTTGGGTTTTCTACCGAGGTCCATATCTGATATACATATCTGGGATAGATATTAGATATTATTTCAATTTTCACGCATGCAAGGGTAAAGTGCTCAACTACTTGGAGTCACTGGTTGTTTTTGGTCTTTTTCTAACTTCAGCCCTTGTCAGTTTAGGTATTCTTGCAAGGATTTCAGGATAAGCTCAATGGAAATAGACCGTATACCATGGCCTGAGTGCTGAGTTAACTTACAGCAAGTAAGATAAATGGCACAATCTTATTTCAAGCTTAGTTGGCATTGTGGGCCATGGCCATTGGCCTAAGCTTGCTTCAGAATTCTAGAGGCTGGTTATGGATTTAGAAAACTAGGAGACGCTACTTGGCTAGACAGCCACAATAAAGGAATGAGAGGAATACCACGGCTTCTGTGGCGCTGCCAACTAGAACAAATTGTCAGCACCATCGTAGTGACTCTGAGCAGACTTTAGGGAATAAATGATCCCAGATTCCCCAAGACTCTCCTTTATTTGTTACTATTTATGCTTCTTCTGTTCCTAAGATCCAAACTCTTTGAAGTGAGTGCTGACAGTCAGGGCAGAGATCACACTGGCATTTTGAATTTCACTCTCTATAAGAAGTAAGTAATGAAAAATGAGAAGAGCATAAAATTAAAAAAAAAAAAAAAAATTAATGAGAAAGTAGAAAAGAACTAAAAAGATTAAAAATGTAAGAAATAAAGAGAACGTAAAAATGGTAATAAAAAGATAATTGACTCTCGTTTCTGTTGCATTTAGATGGAGATTGCATATCAAGAAGAATAAACATTTGTTTGGTTCCGTTAATGATAGTCCTAGAGCTGGCGTGGAAAGTGCAAAAACAGATAGAGAGATGCTGCAACATCATTGTCTGGTCTTTATCCTCGTAGCCATGGTCCATATGTGTGACCTCTTTTTATTCCTTCTGACCGAGAAAAAACTAAAAATAAAATAAATAAAATCTAGCGTTCGCTCTGATCTACTCTCTATCTTCTTTTTTCTCGCTCAGGAACACATCCAGCGTATTGAAGTTCCAAATGAGCGAGTATGACACTTCTGATCCAATTATACACTCTCTCCAGAGCCAGCTGGCTACACTCACCAGCCGGCTTGAGGCTCTCTCGACTAGCTCTGAATCCAGTCGATCGAACCCCTACTTGGTTCCAAAAGAACCAGCTTACGAAATTACACCTGACGACTCCATTCTCGTCCACTACCCAGCAATGGACGGGAAAGATTTTTTCAAACATAAATCTGGAAACCGTGCAGACGATCTTGCATATGCAACAGAAATGGCTAAAGAGATGCAGTCTTTTGCCAAAAACACAACCCAAACCTATTCTGCACCCAAATCGGCACTCATTGACTGGCCCGACTCTTCCTCTCACCACAGTTCCATGGACAAAACAATCTCACGCTATCAATCACGATTGGCAAACCTTACAAGACCACTTGATCAATTTGCCACGGAAATGTTTTCCTACGAAGTTGACCCTGCGGTCGCACAAGCGTGTTTACAGCTCGCACAGACAATGCGTGAACATATTGCACGCCTTGCACAGCAAATGTCAAGCGACAGGGAGGACCTTGTTTACCAAGCGCACAAAATTTCAGTCACCAAGGACACAGTTGATCCACCAATTGTCTCTACTTCAGACTTCATTGAAGCCAGCAAATTGGCAAAGAGTGTTCGTCAGGCTACTAACCCGACAAGACAACGGGCGTACAACAGGAGGACTCAAAACCGGAGTTTCTTTAGCGCAAATACTTACAGACCCACTTCTAATTCTAGCCAATCTCATCCATCGGGTCAAACTCAGACCGCCCACTATCAAAATGACAATGGTTCTTTTTTTGGGCGAGGCCAAAATCCAAGGAGAGGGGGACGAGGCCGAGGCCGAGGCTACCAAACCCCTCAATCCAACCAGACAAGTCAGGCACAGACTGCAGGCCAGCAGTAGGTGGCCGTTTACAGATTTACAGAGAAGCATGGGCTCTCATAACCGACAACGAATGGGTCAAGTCGGTCGTCTCCGAGGGATTCAAAATCCCTTTCCACAAACGGCCACCGATATCCAGTTCAACAGCGTACCAAGCTCGAGTAGCAGCGGAGGAAGAGAAGGCGATCGATCAAGAGGTAATCGCACTCTTAGCCAAAAGAGCAATAGAGGTCGCTTCGGGCCCTGGTTTCAAGAGCCGAATATTCACTATCCCCAAGAAAACCGGGGACATTCGTCCAGTCTTAAATCTAAGACCGTTGAATGCCTACGTCTCAGAGCGGCACTTCAAAATGGAGACGATGACGACAGTATGCGCAATGTTACAGAAGAACGACTTTATGACAAGCATCGACCTATCAGACGCATTTCTTCACGTACTAATCCATCCAGATTATCGTCATTATCTACAGTTCCAATGGAAGAACCGGAAATTTCAATTCCGTACACTTCCCTTCGGGCTCTCACTCTCTCCGCTAGTGTTCACCAAAGTTCTCAAGCCTTTCCTCAAATGGGCACGACGACGAGGAATTCGCATATCAGCGTACCTAGACGATTTGATAATCCTAGCCAAGAACAAAGAACAATCAATCCAGTTCACTCAACTAGTGCAAGACAAGTTGGCAGCGCTAGGATTCCTCATCAAGGAAGCCAAGTCTACGTTGATCCCGTCACAGAAAATAGACCATTTAGGCTTCACCATCAACTCCCGGGATATGACTGTCACAGTTCCGAAATCCAAAGTCAGGGACATACGGCGCGAGGCAGGAAAGCTACTACGAAAAGGCGCCACTTCTTTAAGGGAACTTTCTTCGTTCGTCGGGAAAGCAATGGCAACATCTATGGCAGTGTTCCCAGCGCGATTCATGACACGGAATCTGCTTCACCTCAAGAACACAGCACTAAAAGCCAAGGGAGCTTCTTGGTCGGACACGGTCACCCTCACGGAACCAGCCAAGGAGAACCTTCAATGGTGGAAGGAGCAATTGACGTCATGGAATGGTCTGTCATGGATTCAACAACAGACACAGATGGACATATACACGGATGCATCGGACACCGGATGGGGGATCGTGATCAACAATCAAACATGGAGTGGCAAATGGACTCCACAAGAGAAAGACCACCACATCAACTGGAAGGAACTACAGACAGTTCTTCGAGCTGTTCAACTACCAATAACACAGGGCAAAATGATCAACATCATATGCGACAACACGACGACGATTGCACACATCAACAGGTTCGGAGGGACGAGGTCTCCGGAACTAATGAGACTAGCGGACACGTTATGGCGTCACTGCCTAGCAACGGGGACTCGACTTCGGACGACATACATCCCATCTGCATTCAACCCAGCGGATGCACCGTCACGGCGAATGATATCGCAATTGGAATGGAGGATCAGTCGCCCATTCTTTCAACAACTGGAACACCACTGGGGGCCACATCAGGTGGACCTATTTGCGTCGGCACAGAACAAACAGCTACCGACATTTGTCTCATGGAAATTCCATCCAGATGCTCTGAAGATAGACGCCCTTCAACACAACTGGACAGAGATGGGCAACCTTTACATTTGCCCCCCATGGAATCTTCTATCAATCATCTTGGAGAGGATACAGACCCAGAAACTGACAGCAACAGTAATAACCCCATGGTGGCCGAGTGCAATATGGTTCCCAACCATCAAGGAGATGGCAGTAGCACCACCAATCCCGATCCCTCGGGAAGCAGTCCTACCAGCCGTCGGAAGCGCAAGCGATCTCCTCAGCAAGAATCCACTCTGGTCATTGACAGCATGGAGAATAAGAGGCGACGTAAAGATCTAGATGCAGGACTCTCACCATCCGCTATCACTCTACTAGATTCAGCAGGTGCCAACAGCAAAACACGTCGACAATATCTGCCAACTCAAGAGGCTTTCGCAGTATGGGCTCAACAAGAAGGCTTCGACCCTAGTACGCCAAATGCAATTGCTGTAGTTAACTATTTATGCCATGCGCGGATTATCTATTCTTGGAGTAGGAATACCACTCTTAACAAAAAATCAGCCATCTTAAAGCTTTACGACGACACATCCGTGATCACAGGCAATATCTACTTTCAGCGGTTCATGGCAGCAATGAAAAGTACTGGCGTATTTCAAATGGAGCACGTATCCGCACTCGACATTTCACCCATCCTTTCATACTTCCGCATGGAGGACAATGTGGATCTTGATATGCCTAAGCTCTCTCGCAAGCTCTGCTGGCTCTTAGGCGTTTGTGCGTTTCTCCGGCCAGATGATATCGGTTGCATCGATGTGTCAAAGTCAGAGACCGATGAAAAGGGTCTTCTCCTTACCATAGTCTTCCCTAAGGAGCGACGCGATGGGCAGCGCATCATAAAGTCGATCTTCGTAGGTAGACACCCTAACGACAAGAAAATTTGCCCAGTCGAGGCCTATACAGAATACACCAGACGGATAGCGGACACACCTCTCGAAATCGAGCACCACAAAGATCAGGATTATAAATTCAATCCTCTTATGCGCTTTGTGAAAGACAAGTCTAAAGTCCTTAGGGTCAGTACCATAGGCACTTTTATGAATGAAATCACACGTCGAATTCCAAATCTTCCGTCGAAACGGCCTCCACCAAAGCCACGCGCTATAGGATCAACCTTGGCAGCCATCGCTGGCGTATCAACCCAAGATATCATGGTTCAAGGGAATTGGTCGTCTGACAAGGTTTTCAACAAACACTACCGTGTTTCCCGCAAAGCCAATTCAAATTTGACGACGTCTGTTTTTGGTTCGCTCTGAAGTCACATATGGACCATGGCTACGAGGATAATGATCTGGAAGTGCTACAAAGGACGCACTATCCTCATTATCAGAGTAGCCATGGGACATATGTCCCTCCCACACCTCCCTTTTCTTTTCACTCGTTACTAGATAGAGAGTAGATCAGAGCGAACGCTAGATTTTATTTATTTTATTTTTAGTTTTTTCTCGGTCAGAAGGAATAAAAAGAGGTCACACATATGTCCCATGGCTACTCTGATAATGAGGATAGTGCGTCCTTTGTAGCACTTCCAGATCAAATTTTTTTTTTTTTTATTGGGGAATAAGGTTTACCAATAATCCAAACTAGGTTCTGTGCGCAGCACTTTCTGACCAACCCACACTGCCTTTTAAGCGTCTTTTCATTCTGCTTTTAGCACAAAACAGAGGGTCTTTCAACCAGTAACAAAGGAGAGCTATTAAGGAGGGAAGTAAAAAAAAGTAGCCATAGTTTTATACCATGCTGTTTTGGATGGATGAAGGATGATGAAATGAGAGAATTGTTCTGATGAATTAATAATTTTGCCTTTATAAGTATGGTGAGTGATATAATGCTATTATCCAATCTTCTACACATCCCTCTTTCTTTCATTCATTCCTCTTTCCATTCCATCACCCTCTCACTTCCCTTCGTTACAATAACACACACATTCTCACTCACAGCCTTTCAGCCCCTTTCGCTCTTGGCTACTCTCGAATCAGTTATTTCAGCGCACAATTACACTAAATGGCAACCTAGAAAACTATACTCTTTTGCATTCTGGAAGTGTCAAGGACAGACATGATTGCAAGGAATGATAAGTAACTGAGGAACAAGGATAGGGATAAGGCAATGAGTTTATTGCAGATTGCGAGTTATTATGCTAGGAACTCTACGGCATTTATACTGGAGTACTTAGAGCTAATACGCGTTCAAGACAATCTAAATAAAGTTTGCTCCAAGAAGTTTTTCGCCATATTCAGAATTATGATAACAGAGTAAACTTCATCTGGGATCCGAACATTAGAAAGAAGATATATAGTGCAATCTTATTTTAAATTTACTTGGCGACGTAGACCATGACCATTAGTCTGCTGTTATCCTGGGAGCCTAGGAAAACTAAAACGCGAATTGATTTTTGACTGGCAGAACGAATGAAAGAAGGATGAAGATGCGGAACAAATTAATCAAGCGCACGTGACCACTCCTGAATCTGAACAGGAGAGAGTCATTCATCAATTCATGAGCTCGACACATACTGTACAAGCAGCATCAACGACGTCAAAGAAATGATTCAATCGATTGAGCAAGTGCAAGTCTGCATGAACACTGCTAGGAGGATCATGAGAAATGAGGAACTGAAGGCATACGTCTGACGAAAGAAACCCAACTGACAGCAGATCAAATCGAGAGGCGTTAAGGATACTTACATTGAACGATACAAGACTGGGAGAAGGTTATATTTTCTGATAAATCTGTTTTCAGTAGGATGATGACTTGTGGAAGGGGATATTGCTATAATAGATCCGAGCATAAGCATATCCGACCACATCAAGTCCAGAAAACAACCCAAAGTGAAGGTGGTATGATCACAATCTGGGACTGTATCACAGTTTATGGGGTTTGCGACGTGTGTCTACTCTCAGAGGGCATGCATACAGGGATCTATGTCAACATGCTCGATGAAAATGTGCTTCCCTCGGGATTGGTACTGCAGGGATCCAGTAACATTCATTTTCAAACAGGATAACGCTCGAGTGCACACTGCTCGGACCGTCTAGGACTATGTATCAAAGCCCAACATTACTATTCTTGAGTTATTTGCCAATCCTCCAAACTTCGATGTAATTGAACATGTATGGACTCATATTTTAAAGGTGCTTGCCAATGATAAGAGGCCAAGGTCACTGAAGGACCTATGGGAAAGAGTCGATAAACTTGGTCATACACTCCTATTGACTTTATCCAAACTAGAGCATGCTAATGCGTATTAATAAACGCTATGAAACCAAAGGAGGCTACATTGATTATTAGTAGTACATCAAGGATAAGCAATAGTATTGTAAGTTACAGCGTAGACTTTTTTTTTTTTTTTTTTTTTTTTTTTTTACAAAAAATGATCCTTTCAATGTTCTTGAATGAAAGTTTATGCAAAACTGCAAGCAGTCGATGTCGGTTAGAATAAATATAAGATAAATGAAGGAGGAGATTCATTGCTATGAATGCTGAGTGCCCATTTACCAAGTTAATGAGGAATGCCAAAAAAAAGCACATTTATTGGGCAATTTTTGGAGGAACTGCACATATACTTGGAGTGATAACAGCAATGTGTTTGATTGCTTATTTGTTAAGCATCGCGAAAATTCCATTTAATTTGAATCACATCGAAGCTAATAAACGGATCTCATATTACTCTCGATATTACCGGAATGGGTAGAATTCAGCCTTGACATTTTTGCCAGGGTTCTCTCCATCTTATATTCCTCGATAGCTCGCTTGGCACACCCCGCCCTTCCTGACTGAGTTTAAAGTATTCTTGAAAAAAAAGGCTCGATTGGCATGGGATGCTCCTCCTGTACCCTCCAAGACTTGGAAGAAATGTTGACAGGTGCCAATGTATAGATTACAGTTACAAAATTTTCTCCATTGTATTTCTCCGCAAACTATTCGGTAACTGAACGATAATAAGGGACGGCTAACATATCCAAAAAGAAATCTTGGATGCTTCCTTTGCCGAAATGATAATACGAGGTGCCGTTTCTGATAGAGCTGTCTGAACATAGATGGACGAGTTGGACATCATGAATGCTGCAAGTGAATTAATCGTGTATCTGAAGAGATCAGCTTTTGGTCTTCCTTCCTTCTTGTTTGTGTCATCTCATCGGCCAATAAGTTGAACTTTACCGACATGAAGAAATACGATTAATTGACGGTGTATTTTTCCTTAATCTTCTTAAACCAAGATTTTTATCTTTTTATTTAATGAAGATCCCTTGATCGCATCTATTGTTGCTCTACTACATCATCAATAACCAACAACCCATATAAATGGTTGCTAGTCGCAGCAGTGGACTTCAATTATAGCGCAAGAGATCAAAATATGTCATTTTTGCAAGGCAACTGTCGCAGATTTAGGGGTGCCTTGGTAGGTTCTGAGCTAACCGAAATACTTTCTATAAACTAAGTTATAGACAGAGCTATTTTGAATAGTTGAACAGTTGTTGTCCGGTTGCCTCTGCTTGAGACAAAGACATAATATAATGCAACATGTGTACTGCAGATGAGGTCGAAGATGGTCAATAATCAGTAGTAAATAAAGAGATGGAAGATGAAACATGGCCAGCAAAACAAACAAGACCAAGCTGTACAACATGAGCAAAGCGCAATAGCGAGCGAGTTTCAGGGGTCAAGCAAAAGACGGTATTTCTTTTTCCTCCTTCGCCACTTGGAGTGACAAGAGTGAAAAAGTTGACAAAGTCCTTGGAAATGAGGAAATTCTTCATCTTCTCATCCTTCACCATCCATCGAAATGACAGAACAAAAATACCAACAATTCCGAAATGCCAACAACGAGATTGAAAAAGTTTGTGTCAGGGCTGATTTCATCTCCGCAAACAATGACAACCCATCATACTCTGTGTGGTTGCAAGACATTCAAAAAGTGCTTGCGAATGCAGTGGGAATCAAATTGGATGGACGTCCCATTCCATTCCTTTTAGACGCTGATGGCAATTGGTATGTTACAAAACTTGTCAATTGCTCCCGAAAGGAAAAAAGAGTGGAGCCCAAATTGACAAAGGTTTTTTTTTTTTTTTTTTTTTATTAGGATCGAACCCCTTCGCATTGCATTCTACCCTAACAAGGTCCTGGACGTCATTACAGAAATATCACAGACCTGCAGCTGTAATTGCAGCTGCAACAGCAACAGTAAAGCTGTTGTCCCTTTGTCTTCGAGAAATCTGATAAATCAGACTTCCTCTCAAGATGCTATGTTATCATTATCAAGTTTGGTTCGATTCCTCAACCAATCCCTTACTACTCACCACAACGCACAAACCGAAATGATCAAGTCTGGCCTTGAGCAAATTAAAAAGTTGTTTCAAGAGGTCAAAGAGAAGGACGACAAAATTATCGAGCTGCAATTGGAGACTAAGAAGAAAAATGATGAAATGCTAAAACTCCAATTGGAGGCGAAGGAGAAGGATGATAAAATGCTTGAGCTACAAAATCAAGCCCTTAACAGACTTGCCATCCTTCAAAAGCAGGCCAATGCTATCCTCACCCAGAACTTTGAGCTATACGAATATCCAATCCCTCGACTCTTTATCATTTTACCTGACGGCACCACGACCAAATGGGACCCAAGGAAAATCTTGAGGAGCAAATTCCGCCTTTATTTCCTCTGTGAATGTGGAGATCACACTGCAGAGACAAGCAAGAGCCTTTGGAACCAAATCCATATTGCCAAACATGATGGGTATGAAGTCCGAGACAGCACAGAGTTCTTTCGCAAGTATGGGAAGTATATGCTCATCCTTTTACAGTTGCTCAAGTTGGGAATGGGAACATCCCCAGCTACTTCTCTAACACCAGGTCCAAATCTGATCGATGCTGCTATCGCTTATTCAATCACCTATATGGGTGTGCTTTCCAAGGAGTATCCGGCCTTGAGCACCGCCAACACATTCGACGACTATGAAGAGCTTGAAGGGGCTGATCTTCGACAGCTGGACACATTCCTCCGAATTAACGATGAGGATAGGAAACTTGGCAACTTGTACAGGATCACGACGGAAACAGGCCGTGTCAAATGGGTTTGCTTTGAACATTATCGTTGGACATATAGAGAAAAAGAGCAAAAAGTGTTTAAAAATGCAGTAGAGGCGAGTGGAGGCAATTATGACTCGCACCTTGGCAAAGTGGTTATTACATTGGGATCGAAAACCAGAGCTGAGGAATTTTTCGATGCGCTGACCAATGCAAGACGCATTTACGAGCTAGACATCACATTCAGCTGGCAATGGACCAAGACTGACCTTGAAGCATTTGAGAAAGCACTCAAGACGTCTAGTGTATCGATTCTTCGACTTGATTTTGGGGAGTTTCAAGAAAGCGCGACCAGAAAAATACTTTTGACATCTTCACGATATGAAGTACTTGTTCGCATCATGGAGATTAGCAACATGAAGACTATTCATATTGCTCTACCCCCAGACCTCACAAAGTTTTCGAATTTACAGCCCAGAAGATCGTCACAGCTTCATCAGCTATCCTTTAAGATACAACCTCAATCGATCGGAGCTGGTGAATATCGAGTACTTGCAAATTCACTCAAGCTCAATACAACTTTGACTGCCCTGGACCTAAGAGATAACTTTATTGGGAAAGAAGGAGCTCTGGCGCTATCCAAGGCATTAAAGACGAACACGACATTGGCCATTTTGAACTTGCACGGTAATTCAATCGGGAAAGAGGAAGCTCTGGAGCTGTCTAAGGCACTAACGACAAATAAGACATTGGTCACTTTAGACTTAAGTCTTAACTTGGTTGGAAAAGAAGGAGCTGTAGCACTCTCAGAGGCACTCAAAATAAACAGGAGTTTGACCAACTTGAACTTACTCGACAACTCTATCAGAAAGGAAGAAGTACTGATACTGTCTGAGGCACTCGAGACTAACACGACCCTGGTCATTCTGGACGTGGAATATGACTCATTTGCAAAAGAAGGAGCTCTGATGCTGTCAAGGATCAATACGACGTTAACCAGTTTGGACTTTAGTAATAAATCAATTGGGGATGAAGGAGCTCAGGCACTATCAAAAGCACTCAAGACGAACACGACATTGACAACCTTGAACTTGCGCGACAACGCAATCAGGAGAGATGGGGCCGTAGCACTGTCTGAGGCACTCAAGACAAATAGGGCTTTGACCACCTTAAACTTACTTGGCAACTCAATTGGGGATGAAGGAGCTGCAGCACTGTCTGAGGCACTGAAAACGAACATGACTTTGACCATCCTGGACTTGGAGTATGACTCATTTGCAAAAGAAGGAGCTCTGATGCTGTCAAGGATCAATACGACGTTAACTAGCTTGGACTTTAGTAATAAATCGATTGGAAATGAAGGAGCCTTGGCAATAGCTATAGCACTCAAGGCGAACACAACATTGGCCACCTTGGACTTACTTGGCAACGCAATTGGGGTTGAAGGAGCTGCAGCACTGTCTGAGGCACTGAAAACGAACATGACTTTGACCATCCTGGACTTGGAGTATGACTCATTTGCAAAAGAAGGAGCTCTGATGCTGTCAAGGATCAATACGACGTTAACTAGCTTGGACTTTAGTAATAAATCAATTGGAAATGAAGGAGCTTTGGCACTAGCTATGGCACTCAAGACGAACACAACATTAACAAGTTTGAACTTGCGCGGTAACTCAATCGGAGAAGAAGGAACTGTAGCGCTGTCCGAGTCACTCAAGACGCATACGACATTGACCGCTTTGGACTTGAGTCTTAACTCGATTGGGAGAGAAGGGGTTGTGGCACTCTCGAAAGCTCTCAAGACAAACAGGGTTTTGATCACCTTAAACTTACTCGACAACTCAATCAGAAAGGAAGAAGTACTGATACTGTCTGAGGCACTCGAGACTAACACGACTCTGGTCATTCTGGACGTGGAATATGACTCATTTGCAAAAGAAGGAGCTCTGATGCTGTCAAGAACCAATACAACATTAACCAGCCTGGACTTCAGTAATAAATCAATCAAGGATGAAGGGGCTCAGGCACTATCCAGAGCACTAAAGACGAACACATCATTGATAAGTTTGAAATTGCCTGGCAACTCAATCAGGAAAGAAGGAGCTGAAGCACTGTCTGAAGCACTCAAGGCAAACAGAACTTTGACAACTTTAAACTTACTCGACAACTCAATTGGGAATGGAATTCTGGCACTGTCTGAAGCACTCATGACCAACACAACTCTAGCCATTCTAGACGTTGAGTATGATACATTTGCAAAAGAAGGAGCTCTGATGCTGTCAAGGATCAATACAACGTTAACCAGTTTGGACTTCAGTAATAAATCAATCGGGGACGTAGGGGCTCACGCAGTATCAAAAGCGCTCAAGACGAACACGACGTTGACAACCTTGAACTTGAGCGGCAACTCAATTGGAGAAGAAGGAGCTGTAGCACTGTCCGAGTCACTCAAGACAAATACTACATTAGCCGTTTTGGACTTAAGTCTTAACTCAATTGGGAGAGAAGGGGTTGCAGCGTTCTCGGAAGCTCTCAAGACAAACAGGGCTTTGGTCACCTTAAACTTACTCGACAACTCTATCAGAAAGGAAGAAGTACTGATACTGTCTGAGGCACTCGAGACTAACACGACTCTGGTCATTCTGGACGTGGAATATGACTCATTTGCAAAAGAAGGAGCTCTGATGCTGTCAAGGATCAATACGACGTTAACCAGTTTGGACTTTAGTAATAAATCAATTGGGGATGAAGGAGCTCAGGCACTATCAAAAGCACTCAAGACGAACACGACATTGACAACCTTGAACTTGCGCGACAACGCAATCAGGAGAGATGGGGCCGTAGCACTGTCTGAGGCACTCAAGACAAATAGGGCTTTGACCACCTTAAACTTACTTGGCAACTCAATTGGGGATGAAGGAGCTGCAGCACTGTCTGAGGCACTGAAAACGAACACAACGTTGACCGTTCTAGACTTGGAGTATGGTTCGTTTGCAAAAGAAGGAGCTCTGATGCTGTCAAGGATCAATACAACGTTAACCAGTCTGGACTTTAGTAATAAATCGATCGGAAATGAAGGAGCTTTTGCACTAGCTATAGCACTCAAGGCGAACATGACATTGACAACCTTGAACTTGCGTGGCAGCTCAGTCGGAAAAGAAGGAGCTGAAGCATTGTCTGAGGCGCTCAAGATGAACACTACATTGGTGACATTAAACTTAAGTCTTAACTCGATTGGAAAAGAAGGAGTTGTAGCACTCTCAGAGACGCTCAAGATAAACAGGACTTTGACTAACTTGAACTTACTCGACAACTCTATCAGAAAGGAAGAAGTTCTGGTGCTGTCTGAGGCACTCAAGGCTAACACAGCTTTGGTCATTCTGGACGTGGAATATGACTCATTTGCAAAAGAAGGAGCTCTGATGCTGTCAAGGATCAATACGACGTTAACTAGCTTGGACTTTAGTAATAAATCAATTGGAAATGAAGGAGCTTTGGCACTAGCTATGGCACTCAAGACGAACACAACATTAACAAGTTTGAACTTGCGCGGTAACTCAATCGGAGAAGAAGGAACTGTAGCGCTGTCCGAGTCACTCAAGACGCATACGACATTGACCGCTTTGGACTTGAGTCTTAACTCGATTGGGAGAGAAGGGGTTGTGGCACTCTCGAAAGCTCTCAAGACAAACAGGGTTTTGATCACCTTAAACTTACTCGACAACTCAATCAGAAAGGAAGAAGTACTGATACTGTCTGAGGCACTCGAGACTAACACGACTCTGGTCATTCTGGACGTGGAATATGACTCATTTGCAAAAGAAGGAGCTCTGATGCTGTCAAGGATCAATACGACGTTAACCAGTTTGGACTTTAGTAATAAATCAATTGGGGATGAAGGAGCTCAGGCACTATCAAAAGCACTCAAGACGAATACGACATTGACAAGCTTGGATTTGTGCGAGAACTCTATCGGAAAAGAAGGGGTTGTAGCACTGTCAGATGCGCTCAAGATGAACACGAGTTTGACTACCTTGGACTTGAATTTCAACTCAATCGAAGAGGAAGGAGCTATAGCACTCTCAGATGCACTCAAGACGAATACGACATTGGCAACCCTGGATTTGCACCGCAACTCAATTGGAAATGAGGGAGTTCTGGCACTGTCAGATGCACTCAAGATGAGCACGAGTTTGACTACCTTGGACTTGAATTCCAACTTTATTGGAAAAGAAGGAGCTATAGCACTGTCAAATGCACTCAAGATGAACCGGAGTTTGACTACCTTGGTCTTTCATGGCAACTATATTGAGAGAGGAGGAGCTATAGCACTGTCAGATGCACTCAAGATGAACACGAGTTTGACTACCTTGGACTTGCATGGCAACTTAATTAGAAAAGAAGGAGCTATAGCACTCTCAGATGCACTCAAGATGAACCGGAGTTTGACTACCTTGGCCTTGCATGGCAACTATATTGAGAATGGAGGAGCTTTAGCACTGTCAGATGCACTCAAGACGAATACGACATTGGCAACCCTGGATTTGCACCGCAACTCAATTGGAAATGAGGGAGTTCTGGCACTGTCAGATGCACTCAAGATGAACACGAGTTTGACTACTTTGAACTTGAGTTATAACTTAATTGGGCATGACGGGGCAGTGGCGCTGTCATATGCACTCAAGATGAATACGAGTTTAACTACCTTGGTCTTGCATTACAACCATATTAAGGATGAAGGAGCTATAGCACTGTCAGATGCACTCAAGACGAATACGACATTGGCAACCCTGGATTTGCACCGCAACTCAATTGGAAATGAGGGAGTTCTGGCACTGTCAGATGCACTCAAGATGAGCACGAGTTTGACTACCTTGGACTTGAGTACTCAACGCGAGTTTGACTGATTTGAACTTGGAGTTCAAATCCATTGGGGAAGAAGGGGGCTCAGGCACCGGTAGGCGCATTCAAGCTGAAGAGATATTTGACTACCTTGGAGTTGGGGCCTAACTGGCCTGGGGATGAAGGAGCATGGCCACGCAAAAGATGGCTAGATCGTTTAAAAAGCAATAGAGAAGAGGATGAATGTGCGCAATGATTAGCCTAATGTTGAGTATGGTACTTGAATAAGAGCCAAGGAAGGGACAAATATGCAATGTTACATTGAGCATCCGATCAGTGCAGAAATTAAAATTAATCAAATCGAGCAATCAATAAGTACGGGGTGCGAACCACTCTTTTTTTTTCATTTATTTTTTTTTTTTTTTATTTTTTTTATTTTTTTTTATTTTTTTTATTTTTTTTTATTTTTTTTATTTTTTTTTATTTTTTTTATTTTTTTTTATTTTTTTTATTTTTTTTTATTTGAGAATGAGAATACAAACTATGCACCAGCCTCCAAAGGTGTGATGGATCAGGAGCGCAATAGTCAAGAAAGCTCTTGTTTATTAATGAGTTACAAATACAAAGATGGAAATGAAGGAAGCTTTTAAATAAAATGCTGAATGACAATCCAATTGAGGACACAAGGGAGGGGGGAGGGGAGGGTCAATATAAATGTTTATAGACTCGAACAAGTTGATAGCCTTATAAGCACTTGAACAAAGACTGAGGATTATATATAATAAAAAATAAAAAGATCATTGACCATGATGAGGACATGGGACATGGGACATGGGACATGGTGGTCTTTGCACTTTTTTTTAGTTTTATTACCCCCCCCCCCCCTGGATGAGCAATCTCCGTGTGTATGGATGGAAATGAATCAACAAAAGGATAAAGCATGTTTCAAGAAAATGAAATCAGAGTTGAAACTGTAAATGAAGATGATGCATGACTATGTAAGCAAAGTTGCAGGGGCAATAGAACGTCTACTTGCATGACATGTAAAAATTTATACTGCTGTAGAGAATAAAGAAACTTGTAGAAGCCCTTGTTTCTTTATTTCTTCTTGAGAAAGTGCTCACATTCTTGAGACAATAGACAGATTGGTAAGGGAGAGGGGCGAAGGTGGATAGAAAGACGACCTTGTTGATATATATTTAATAGTATAGGTATATATATATACAAAGGATTAGTATGGAGTGTGATTGTGTGGATATGAAGTGGCGTAGTCGTATTGAAATTAGATCGAGTGGCGAGAATGAGTGAGCAAAAAAAGGAAGAGAAGGGGAAGGGGAAGGGGGGATGGAAGATGAAGATGAAGATGAAGCTGAAGCTGAAGAGGAAGGAGAGAGGAAGGAGAAGGTTATGAAAAATATATAAAAAGAAAGAAAGGTTTAAAAAGAAAAGAACTATATGCATTTTTATCATTTTGTTTGTCCCCATCCTTTCTATACTTTTTGTTTTTATTTTTTTTCCCCCCTTTATTCCTTCCTGTCTGTTTGGTTGATCAACACTTGAACGGGTATTCGTGCAAGGTCAGATCGATCAAAGGAGGAAGAAAGAATATCTGCAGACAAAGAAAGACGTCAGTGCCATTTTTTTTTTTTTTATTCCTTCGATTGCTTTTGATTACTTTATTAACCAATCTCGGGTGATTTGCAGAATTCGGTGTGAACTGTTTCAGGAACGGACAACGGTTTGTCTCAGACTGATTAAGCTTGCTGCAGAGAACATTCAAAAGGTAATGCACCGATGCAGACATTTTGTCATGGACATCTACACTTTGCATCATTAAGTAGCATCTTTGCGTTTGCATAAGCATTAGCGTTTGCATTTTGCAGTTGCATATGCATTTGGCCTGCATTTGATTGTGTGTGCACATGTGTATAAATATGAGTATATCTGTATGATAATACACTCTATATATATATATGTGATTATCCAAGCCATTCATACAACTTTTTCGCAATTCGCACTTTTTCTTTTCTTTTCTTTTCTTTTCTTTTCTTTTCTTTTCTTTTCTTTTCTTTCATTTCATTTCTTTTTTCTTTTCTTCTTGTTCTTGTTCTTGTTCTTGTTGTTCTTCTTTTCCTTCTTTTTTCCCTAGACCTTTGGACATGTTTACAAATATACACTTAAACTATACAAAAACTCAATGCAAAATGCAAATCAAAAAAAAAAAAAAAAAAAGTGAGCCCTCACACAAATCATATCATGCTCATCAATGCTCATGGTCATGCTCATAAACATACTTTTGCTCTTGCTCATCCTTTTTTCTTTTTATTTTATTTTTTTAATTGGAAAGAGTTATAATTAAACCCGGTCTGGCTGACCATCCATCGATCCATCCGTATTTTATATACCCTTTCCCTTCATTTCTCGCCGCGTGTAACAGTAACAAGATCCAATTCATTTCTTTGTCCTTGTCTCCCTTTCTCTTTCTTTCTTTCTTTCTTTCTTTTTTTCTTTGTGTGTGTGTGTGTGATCATTCTTGGTTGATGTAATGGAATGGAATGCAATTTGCATTATATTTGGTCTATGATCACATAGTCTCTCGTGCGACATTGACCTAAAATTGAATCGACTCGGGCGCCGGTTGGGACCTTCTCTTTTCTCTTTTCCAACGAGAGCATCACAGGCTGGTTACTGTGATTGCCGCTTGGAATTGCACTCGTAATCGTAATCGAAATTGCAAATGCTATTGTAATTGTAATTGTAATTGTAATTGCTGGCTGAATACTTGCAATCTACATGTACTTGCTCTGCACTTTGCACTTGTTTGCTATAGACTTGCCACATTGACAATCCAACGACCATCCTTTCCTCTCTCTTTTTTCTCTCTTTTCTCTCTCTTTTCTCTCTCTTCCATCCACACATTCACTAATACGCTCTTTCTCCATTTGCCCTAATCCTATCTGTTAACGAACATCACTAACGACCCCTTCCAACCTTCCACAGGCATCACTTCATTTAACGAATTCATTTGTTACGATCATTGTCATTGACCCATTCATTAATTCATTACATTCATTTCATTTCATTTCATTACAATTAAAAAAAAAAAAAAAAAGAAAAAAAGAAAAAAGAAAAAAGAAAGATATACTTTCAACTTTTTATTTTTTATATACACTTTATATTTTTTTTTGTATTTTCCCGTTGACCTTTGTTGCTTTGCCCATTTTTGATTGCTATTCATTGTTCCCGTTACGGTTTTTTTCTTTTTTTATTATATCCTCGACTGCATCTATTCATTCCTCCCATTCATTCTAATTGACTTTTAACAGAAAAGAAAAGAAAAAGATACCGCGACCTTTTTGTCTTTTTTTTTTTTTTTTTCCCGTTACTACGACCTGACGGTAAGGAATGATCCTCCATACGCTCTCCATCCAACACCCAAAGAGTCCTTTACCGGGTCCCAATTGTTCATGACCAATTGCATCCATCCGATGACACAGCTCTGTCCCGGATTACCGCTTGCCCTTTTTTATATACCGAATGGTATTCTATTCTATTTTCTTTTATTTTATTTACATATCCACACCGCTTTTATTTTTTATATCCTTGCTGCAAAAAAAAAAAAAAAAAACTCTCCCTCGTTGCCCTATCGCCAAACTCTCCCTATCTCTCCACAGATAAAAAAACCTTGAAACAAGAACAAGAATGCAATATCGTTATTATTGTTATTGTTGTTATTGCTGTTGGTGTTGCTGTTGCTGTTGTTGCTTACCTTGATGTATGCATGCATGCAATGCAACCTTTTGGATTTTTATACGTTAGTCAAGATTTTATTTTATTTTATTTTGTTTTATATCTTTTGGGGATATCTATCCATGCGACCTTATTCCCTTTTCTTCCAAATGATGAATGGATGAATGGATGAATGGATAAATGGATCTTATACGCGTTTATTCCCCTGTCCTCTTTGCTTTGGCATTAAACAATGACTTGAACTCGTACTTGTACAAGATCAAATCATGTCAAGGGACGAGGCTGCGTTGTGAAAAAAAAAAAAAAAAAAAGAAAAGATGCTGGCACCACGTGGACAGGGGAACAGCATTGACTTTTTCTGGTCACCATTGACAAAGCATCTCTCTTTTCCCCTCGAGGAGACACAAAAGACAAAAGAGGCAAAGAAACAGAGAAACAGAGACAGACAGACAGACAGACAGACAGACAGACAGACAGGCAAGATGGATGAATGAAAGGGATTGTTTATGTCTAGGATGTTCATCTCTTAAGCTGTTTCTTGTTCAACTTGCTTCTTTTTCTTTTTCTTTTTCTTTGTGCATACGTACCATGTCTTTCTTTTTCATTCTTTTCCTCTCTTCTTTTCCTCTCTTCTTTTTGCTCATCTCTTCATTGTCTTTTCTTTATTTTTCCTTTCTTTTCTTTTCTAATGTTGACTTAACCCATTTGTACATTATAATCGTAATTTCTAATCTAATTCTTAATCGCCCTCTTTCTCTTTCCTCTCCCCTCACTTTGCTTTCCTTGCACCATTCCTTATACCCCGGGTTCATTCCCCCCACTCTTCCTCTTGCCCTTTTACCCTTCTACCCTTCTGACCCTCTGCTCTTTCATTCTCCTCCATTCCCCGTTTTATTTCCTTCTGCCCCTTTACATCCACTAGATTCCCTCTCTTCTAGATCTCCTTTACCCTATTTCCCTCCTCCAAGCAATCCTCTGTCCTTAATTCCCACACAACACCTCTTCTTTCACCTGACACTCGCCCAACTTGATCAAAACAATAAAAATAAAAAAAGACACGCATATCTATCCCCCAAGGCACCATTGCTCGGTCCCAATTATCAGATTCAGACCAGTCGCGAGAAATAGGAATTCAGTCAATCAATTAGTCTGCCCATCAGTATGTCAGCAGAACCCAGAACGAGTCCAACACCAAGATATACGATCCTTGTTACCATTGTCGAGGGTGAGTCTTTAATTCTTATTTTTTTTTTTTTTTATTTCTTGTTCAATTGTTCACAATTGATCCCTTTTCCTTTTTGCTCCATTGTCAAATATTCTTTTTTGTTTCGTTTGCATTGCTGTTTGCTACTTGTTTCTTTTATTTTTGTTACTTTTTGTTACTTTTTGTTACTTTTTGTTACTTGTGGTACAATTGCCTTGTATCCACATGAAAAGTGTGTTGAATCGGATAGCAATTGTGTCATTAAATATCATTGTTCCATGAATTTTATGGGCTCTTCTTTTTTCCTCTGTCCTCCTTTCTCCTTCCCTGCCCTCTCTCCCCACATCTGCATTCATTGTTTTTCTTCTTTGCTATCCTGCTCAAGTACCTTACGATGGTACATGGGAATAGGTTTACACCAAAGCCTTTTTCTACTTTGGTCGTCTGAATTTTATAAAATCTGATCTTTTTCTCCTCAATCGTGTCTCCAGCAATTGATGGCGTCGTTGGCGTTGATTTCTGAACTGGTCGCGTTTTTTTTTTTTTTTTCTTCCCAAGCCATCAAATCAGTCTTGTTTGTTCGCGTACTTTCCTCAATCTCTTCTTTGCTTTGGCACGCGCGCAACAAAAGGACAAAGAGAAGAGCTTGGGAAACAAAATAAAAAAGCATTACAGGGCTGAAGATGACAAATAAAAGGCTTTCCTTATTTCTTTGTCCTGCAATCTCTCTTTCTTTTTTTCTTTCTTTTTTCCCCTTGTGTGTACAGTTGTATGTTCTTTGTAGATCAGTCGAGAGGAACAAGCGATGGGAAGTCAAAGAGGCGGACTTTGTTCTTTTTTCCTTCTGCACTGCCTCGATGTTGTACACGATGATGGCAGTGTGTTGCACAATTACCCAAACCAAAAACACAAAAACAACAAAGCCAAGGCACAAAGCAATCTTGGCCTTGGCCTTGTCCTTGTCCTTGGACAACCACACGCATCTGCATATTCACTCATTACTCCAAACATCCAAATACTCGCACGCTCCCTCCCTCTCCTTCCATCACAGCAGCAATATAACATTGATTATTTCAATTTCTTTTTTTACCACTAACCTCGGCAAAGTTGTTCATGTCCTATTGGTCTCTCTTCTAACTAGACATCAATTAACTTTGCTCCCTTCCTTTGCCTGAAATAGGTCGCTATTTCCTTCGTGATCCCGACTGTCAATTGATGGTCCAGTGCCAGTTCAATGATGCTCTCTTCATCGAGAACCCAGAGACAAATAGCCATTCCTACCCAGAAATCCTCAGCACAGATCCTGTCGAGCAAACCCCGTACCCTATCTGGGATACTGAACTCGCCTGGGACCTGGATGCTGAAGTCCTGGACATCCTCCGCATCGAGCATGCTTCTCTCAAGCTCACCTGTTTCTCCATCAACCAAAAGACAAACGAAGAAGAGACCTTGGGACACATCATCTTGGATCTCTCTTCCGCATTCGAGCCTGAATCAGCAGAAGAACAATGGGCCGCCTTGACCGGTGCCAACGCTTCAGGATACCGTGGCCTGCAACCAGAGCTCAAGATTGCTTTTACGATCGATGAAGGTATCTCAGATGTCAATCCTACGATCGATAATGTCCTGACCAGCATCGAATCCACCTCCTCTGAAGAAGCCGAGTATTTGAGTCAGATCCAGTCTCATTTCAAAAAGACTCCTGCTGCTGCACTCCATGGGCTTGAAGAAGAAGAGGAAGAGGACGAGGATCGGTACGAAGATGATGGCCGTGATGCTCATGTGCCTATCGGAGATCGATCTTTCTATCGAACTCGAGATGATCCAGAGACTGGTGTACCTGAATTCGATGATGATGAGTCGATGCAGATGGATATCCCAGTCGATGTTGGTGAGGTCATCATCCCTACCGAGGTCAAATCAAAAGGATTCCTTCAGCTCGGTGTTGGTCGCGACTTCTTCATCTTCACCATCACCATCCAGGCAACAAGGAACATGGATAGCTTAGTAGAGCGCTATGCAACCACCCAAGGTAAAAATGTCGAGGCTGTTGAGCAAGGACTCTTCCTCTACTACACCTTCCTCGGCAACAGTGTGGCAACACAGCTCCTTAACAAGACCGAGGCAGGCGCACCAATTGAAGAGATCGCACTGAGACTCAAGTCATCGATGGAGTCAATGTACCAACACTTCCGAGATGGAGAGCAACTCTTGATCCATCTTTGCCATGGATCCAATCTCATTGGGACTGCTACCATCCCTCTTGCTGTCATTCTCCTTCACGGCACAGCCAATCTGTTCCATGCAAGTGCTCAGTTCTATCCTTTCCAGCCAGCTGTTCCTTTGCATGAAGAAGGATCCAAGCCTGAGCCATCGGAGGTTGCCTTTGTGCAAGTGGCTATGCATGTGACTCGTGATTTGAATACTCTTGCTACTCCCAACACTCCTGCCATCCGTCGCGCATCACAAGGCACTGCTTCCAAGAGAGCCAGACCTGCTGCCATTGAGGTAGACACCTCCAGGAACTTGAGTTCCTCCACTTCATCTCGTTCACCTCGTCGACATGATTACAAGTTCTCGATTGAGCTCCGCACATTCAAGGCATTGTCCCGCAACCTGAACAATGTCTCGTTGAGATACAACTACCGTCCTTTTGGTCCAAAGTCTACTCAACCTCCTATCAATGCATCGAGACTTGTGCCAACATCTCTACCTGATAGCTGTCGCACCTTCCAGTTGTGCCAAACTCCACAAGCTCTTCGCAACCAACTCAAAACACCATTGGTGGTCGAGGTCTGGTGCCAGCATCCGGAGACTAGGCAAAATGTCCTTCATGCCTCTGGCCAGATTCATCTTATTGATATCCTAGATGAGGATGCTGAACCAACAACAGAAGGCCATATGCAGCGTCTTCAATCCAGTTTTGTAGTCGTACTCGAAGGTGGTAGCAGTCCTGTGGGAGAAATCCAATTTGCATGCTCTCTTGAGGATCTTGGCGAGTACTTTGATAGTCAACAGAGTGAGATCCTGTCAACAACGCCTGTGCACTCGATGGAGCTCCACCACCACTCTAGAGGTCCGTCTAATGATCTGTCTACAGCTGGACCTGAGCCTCAGTATGGTTTCCATCCTCGTGGTCACAATGTCGAAGTATTGCCATCTGAGCATGAGGAAGTGCGTAGTCAGAGAAAGCAGCGTAACTCGTCTCATTTTGCAGAAGGTTACAGTGATCAAGAACGAGCCGAGACATCAGCTGCTCCAAGCCGATCCAGTCAAAGACCCACCTCTGTTCGACTCTCTCAGGTCCGCCACTTGTCACAGGCTCATCAGAACAGCCATCCTCACCACCATCACCCATATGGAAAGCCCTCGAGTCCATCTGGAAAGAATGATCCCCCTATGGACTATCAGATGGCTTTGAAGCAACAGCTTGCTAAACAAGTCGAGTTGAATCGCCAAGTCGAGTATGACCTCCTTCGTCGCTCGCCTATCTCAAGCCTTCCTCATTCACTTCAGCAGACCCTTCAAGCTGAAAAGACAAGACGTCCTTCCTTGACAATCGATGGATTGGAGAGCAAGGGCGCTGTGGGTGTTGATGGAGCTGAGAGTCAGATCTCTCAGAAGGCTCAACAGAAGGTGAAGGATCTGAAGGCTCTTGATTACCAAGTACAGAAGCAGTTGATTGCGCTCGAGTTTCGTGAGCGTAAGCTGTTGCGAGCTGAGGAGGCTTTGCAGCGTCAACAAGCCAATTTCCAAAAGGTCATGGATCGCCATGGATATTCACAAGGCTCATTCCAGAATCCTGATCAGCCATTCGTTACCACTCAGGCTTTGTCATCATCTACAACAGCAGGTGTTGGCAGTGGTAGCAGTGGTGCTGGTGTTGGTGCTGGATCGCAACCTATCTTGGGTAGCAATCCTAGTCCACAGGACTTCTTTTTGCTCCAGGACCGTTTCCGAGCACTCCAAAGACAGAACCAACTGTTGGAGGCAGAGTTCAATCAGTACCGTCAAGAGCACCCAGCTCATCTCAATACATCCAGCATTGCAGCACTCCACAAGAAGATTGCAGAGCTCGAGTCAACCAATAGCAAGCTGATGAATGATGTCACGTTTGCCAACAACTACAAGGAGCACTACAAGGCCCTTTGGACTCATTCTTTGCAAGAGATCGCATCGATGCGTCAAGATCTTCAGATGGGGATGGAGATCAAGATGATGCAACAGTTCAATGAAGTGGATCAGCTGAAGCTGATGGGAATGACACGTGCTGAAGCAGACCATGGCCAGGATCGAATCATCCTCCGAGGCATCAAGACCGAGCTTGAGATGTTGCAACATCAGATGCAGCCTCTCTTCCCAGATGATGACATGTCATGGGATCATCCCCATCAAGGATCTCTGAGCCGTGGAAGCGATCGATACCGCCATGATCATCGAGATGAAGATGAAGATGACGAAGGAACAGATGACTATAGCCAATATGGTCGCCGTGGCCGTGGTGGCGGTGGACATCATCAGCATCAGCAAGAGAGACACTATCCTATGGGACAGAGTCAACAACGTCAACAACCTTCACAAAAGCAACATCAACAGCAGCAACAGCAGCAACAACAGCAACATTATCGTGGAGGTCAACAATATTCGATCAGCAACAACAATGGCTCGACCTATGAGCCTTTCCCTACTTCAATCAAGCCAACAAAAGCAAGTAGCAGTAGTGGTGCAGATGGTAGTAGCCATAGCAAGTTGCAAGGAGGGAGTTTAGTTGATGCTCGATACTTTCATTCGAATGCAGGAGTAGGCAACACAAGCCTAAATGAGGAGGAGGATGAGGAACATGATGAGACATTGGTGGATAATACGATGATGCGATCCATGGGAGCCTCACAATTCTTGAGTCCTTCTTCACAACAAAAGACTACAACAACAACAACAGGTAACAGGTTTTCAGGAGCAGGAGCAGGAACAGGAGCAAGCTCATTGATACCCACTACCTTCACAACTAATCAAAGCATCCACTCTTAAAGAGAAAAAAAAATGAAAAATAGAAAAGTAACAATAAAAAAGAAAATAGCATTGTTGAATAGTATTCTTTACTGCATTCAAATACAAGATTTCACTTTGACGCGATGCTTATGCGAGTTGGAGATATTTTTCAATTAGACATTCGCAGTCACATTTGATCACCTTTCAGCTGCAGTGGTTAAACATGGCATTAAAACATGGGTTGCATCAGTTGTATTTGGTTGCATGGTTACGAAGAAGAAAACCATCCTTATTAATCAGAACAAACATCCATGGAGCTTCCAACTGTTGGAGACCATTGCACTTTTGCATCCTGTCAGAGCCTTGACTTTCTACCGTTCGAATGTGTATTCTGCCATAGTACTTTTTGCTCTGCTCACCGCTTACCACAAAGTCATGTCTGCGAAGGATGGTTGAAGGAGTCTCAGGCTAATTCAGTCCAACAGTGTCCACAATGTGAAAAGATGGTTCTGACAGCCAAGCAACAGGATCCAGCGACCATTGTAAAAAAAAAGGAAAAAAAAAGAAAAAAAAAACCAGCGTTAACAACAATGTTCATTCCTCTTTTTCTTCTATAGTCCTTTTTATTCCTTTTCTTTACAATTAGTAGAGTGCTAAAGGTTTAATAGCTGCTTTTGTTTTTTTTTGTTTTTGCTTCCTCTTCTTCTTTTTATAATAGCTCAAAGAACACCAGGAAAGCGGCTGTCGCATTCATCTCCTTCCACCTGTTCAATCTATAGCTGTCCTCTGTGCTCAACCTGGTTGTCGTGTTAAAAGTCGAGTGGTCCATACATGTACATGTACACCAGGAGGAGAAGTAGGAGGAGGAGGAGGAGGGGGATGTGGACAAACATTTTGTTTAGCACATCGACACCCTCATGAACACGACTGTCCGAAACTGAAGGAACTTGAACAAGAAGCCATTGCGAAACAACAAAGGAAACAGAGACTCAAAGCGAGTATTCAAGAGACATTTGAGAACAAGGTGTCCTCCTCCTCCTCCTCATCATCATCATCATTATCATTATCATCAGGAGTAACATCGGCATCAGCACCAGCGCCAGCACTATTAGTGAACGAGGAGAGTAGGAATGAGAGAGCGGAAGCGACTAAAAAGACAATTGCAGAGGCTAAAGCAAAACTTGCAGCAAGAAAAGCGGCTGCTGCCTCTACTACAACTACCACTACTTCTTCCACTACTGCTACTGCCACTGCCACTACTGCTGCTGCTGCTGCTGCTGCTTCGAGATCGGCAGATGAGAACAAAATCCTATCATCAGCAGGATCATCCACAGCAACTAAACCAAAGGCTAAAAAAGCCCCACGGATGGTATCAGTTTTAAAATTGAAAAAATCGGCACAGGTAATGAATGTACTTGTTCGGATTGTCTAAACAAGTATTTATGTGTATGGTAACATCGTACAGCAAAGAGTCAATGGCTAATCAAATGTACTCTGCCTTGAAAAAAAAAAACATCTGCTGTTGTGGTGAATGACAGGGTGAAGACAAGATCCCACTTAACTCGAGACTATACCTCCATATTCGATCGCCTCTATATCCACAGCTGAATGACAAGGCAGTGTTTGTGGACAAAACATGGACAGTAGGCAGATCGCTTGATAAAATCACAGAGTGGTTCAAGATTACACCACCTATGAATATGCATCAGTCCTTTGATGCCACCAAGGTTTGTATTCTTTACTTTTATGCGTATCATTTCCTATATTTGAGCATGAACAGAACAGAAAGCATATACAAGAATCTAACGCATATGTACTTTTTTTTTCTTTTTATAAAAAATAAAAAATAAAAATACATTGATAGAGATTCAGCATATTTCATGCCAAAGAGCCAGAAGATGTACCCAAACGACTTGCCATGCAGGATCGCCTACAGCAGCTGCCGAGCGTTGAAAGTGGTGATACAGTCTACTTGGCTCCTGCAGACTGGGATTATTCAGACCTCTAGTATATAGATGTAGCCACTAAATATTTCTCTATAAACACACCAGTCTTCTCAAGCTATCCTCTCTTATTCAACAAGCACTTTCTTTTTTATGGTGTGATTGTAAAGAGGCAATGAACACTTTATTCTATATCCTGAACGACTTCCTGCCTATCCACACACTTTACTCTTGACTCACAAGGCTCGCATGAAATGATATGTGCAATACTACATTCCTTGCATACTCTGCATTTGAGCCGGTATCCTCCGATCAACTGGCTTGTTTCTGTCAACCTTATCAATCGTGTTCCTTCGTTCAGCCCTTCTGTCTTTAGATCTGCCTCTAAATCTACCTTTGTTGGTGGTTCTTGATAATGCCTCACTTGACTGGGTCCATTCTTGGTCTTGGATGCTATTGGTGGCGCCCCTACATTCTTGATCGCCTCATGCACAGCCAAGGAGGAGGATTGCTCGTCTATAGCTCCACGTTGGAATAAAAGCTTCCTGTTGACTTGACTCAATCCATCTACATCCTGAATACGAATGTTGTTTGCATTAAGGACTGTTTGCTTGGTGCTCCACTTTAGGTGGTAGTAGTATTCCTCATTCTCCTTCACAATCTGCCACATCCGGATAGAACCATCCGCACAGCCTGTAACCAGATAGTGGCCCTCTTTAGAGGCATTCCATACAAGCGTATTAGCTTCACCACCTTCACATGGGATTAC